ATTTATTTATTTATTGTCATTGTAAGTATATACACAGTATACCCATACAATGAAATTCACAGACACCCAGAGACCAGACACCACTAGTTGTTTTGTAGATTTTGCAAGCTGAAGACTGGATATAAATCTGCAGATTGATCAATCAATTCACTTTGTGCTATCTAGAAAACATTGCTCTCGTCATTATCTGCTGACTCAGAGTCAAATAATCCCTTACCTGCCCATCTGCACTTTATATGTGGTGCATTTCTTCATACCATTTCACTGTTCATACAGGAAATCAAGCAACCTAGTATGAAAGTGTTTAATTTAGTCATCTGAATAACCCTGCTAAATGATACCATGCATTTTAGTATGTCTGGAATGCTATTGCCAGTTTACTTTTGTGTAAGGGAAATAGCATATGTTTTTATGGCAGGTTATCACTCATTAATTAGATACAGTACTAGTTACACTCCTGGGTGTATGCCCAGTCACTCAATTGGGTGCACACCCCAAAATGCCTCATTTGTAATCACTGCTGTGCCACCATACTGTATGTAATTTCACTTATGCAGGCATAAATTGGCAATAGGATTCTGGCCTACAGGTCAGAGATATATGTATGAGATTAAAAGAGTATCTGTTTCCACTCAAGATAATTTTAACTGAAATGGATGGTAGTTCTGAGTTGTAAATATGCAGTTTAGGGCCACATTACTTGTTGGAGCCCCTTTGCCCAAGGTTTTCCTTCAATGCCGCCAGATCCTTTCAGGTTATGCTCCTCCAGGTGGCTATGCTGAAGGAAGTCAGAAAATCTTCCACAAGAAATTGGGCCTTTTTGGTGGTAGCACCATCCCTTTGGAATTACCTCCCAGTGGAGATAAACCTGGCTCCCTCCCTTCCTAACTTCAAGCGGATGCTGAAAATACGTTGCTTGTGAAGGCAGCCTCCTTTGAATGTACTTGCCTCTGTTCTGCTGCTTTGATCTGTTATGCTATCAGAGCTTTGTGCTGGTTTATTTCAGTTTGTTATTCTTTCGTTACATATTTTATTTGATTGTGTGTTTTTTTTTATATGTACGCCACCCACAGAAGAGTGCTATGCACTAATGGGGCAGTAAATAAATAAACATATAAATAAATAAATAGAACTTTGACTGTCTATCATAGTTGTGTTTATGAACTTGTGAAACATCATATATGTAATTCCTTTGTTAAGTCTTTGTATTTTTTTTTCTTTCAGGGATATCAGAGACAACCAAGTAGAGCCATGGTATGTGTCTTCGGAATTAGCTTATACTGTTTTATTGTAAGATAGATCTAACGGGACGTGGTGGCGCTGTGGGCTAAACCGCAGAAGCCTGTGCTGCAGGGTCAGAAGACCAAGCAGTCGTAAGATCATAAGATCGAATCCACGCGACGGAGTGAGCTCCCGTTGCCTGTCCCAGCTCCCGCCAACCTAGCGGTTCGAAAGCATGCAAATGCAAGTAGATCAATAGGGACCACTTCGGTTTGAAGGTAACGGCATTCCGTGTCTAAGTCGCACTGGCCATGTGACCACGGAAGATTGTCTTAGGACAAACGCTGGCTCTATGGCTTGGATTCAGGGATATCAGAGACAACCAAGTAGAGCCATGGTATGTGTCTTCAGAATTAGCTTATACTGTTTTGTTGTAAGATAGATCTAATCAAAAACAAAGAGTCTTCCAGAACCACAAAGGCAGGAAATTTATTGTGTGAACTGTTGTTGATTAAAGTCTACTTTATCCGATACATAGAATGTTACCCAGAATTTCAGGTGTATACATGGTACACCTAATTGGTGGTGGACCTGTAGATCTGGGTCTTGATCAAAATTAGATGCACAGAGTACTGACAGAGGACAATCTTTGGGATTTTGCAGGAGGAGTCATGTAACTTCCTATAGTTACTGATGAGGGATGGAGTGCATGCCAGTTGCACACCCAGTGATGCTCACAATTACATGCAGGGACAAAACAAGCGCTTTATTATTTAGCTTTAATGAGCTGTGGCAACATACATGACTTATCTTGTGTGTGCATAAAGTCCCAACAAAATATTGCCTAGTGACAAGCCTGAAGCATATCCCCATATGACACTGAACATATCTAATTTTGCTTGGTTTCAAAAGTCACACAGGGCTGGGCCTGGTTAGCACTTGGATGGAAGACCCCCAAATTACCAAGGATTTCCAGATATGGCTAGAAACTAATCCTGTCTGAATCTTCAAAAACTGCTGGCAGCTAGTTCTCCTCTATTTTGCACTGATTAGGCCCCATCTAGTTCCTTCCGGACACCACACGTTAAGAAGAATGCAGACAGAGTAGAACAAGTTCAGAGAAGGGCAATGAGGATGATCTGGGGGCTAGAAACCAAGCCCTGTGAGAAAAACCTGGAAGAACTGGAGCTGTTAGCCTTGAGAAGAGTGAGAGGAGATATGGTAGCACTCTTCAAATGTGGTAGCACTCTTCAAATACTTGAAAGGTAGTCATACAGAGGAGGGGCAGGCTCTGTTCTTGATCATCGTGGAGTGCAGGAGAAGTAATAAATGGGCTCAAATTACTGAAAGCCAGTTTTCAATTGAATATTAGGAAAAAGATATCCTGTTAGAGCAGTACAACAATGGAATGGAGTGCAGGACAAATAATAAATAGGCTCAAATTACTGGAAGCCAGTTTTCAATGGATTATTAGGAAAAAATATCCTGTTAGAGCAGTACAACAATGGAATCAATGGAATCAGGAGGTGGTGAGTGCTCCAATGCTGAAGGCATTCAAGAGAAAATTAGACTACCACCTATCAAATATGCTCTGATTTGGATTCCTGCATTGAGCAAGGGGTTGGATTTGATGGTAGAGCCCCTTCCAAATCCATTATTCTATGATTTATACAATACTGGGCTAGAGAGAATCAGTATGAAATATCTTTCTACATCTCTTGTATTCCTAATAAACATGCTCAGAGGACCTGGAAAGTGACTTGTTTCCCATAGACCACTGCTTAGTAATTTTAGTTGAATCCTTACTTCAATTTTTTCTTCAGTCATTCTGCTTAGGCTGTTCCTAGTTCTGCGATTCAGGTGGCATATAGATGACATAAATACATATTTTTGAAAGGGGTTGATATACACGTGGATGGAGCTACATGAAATAGCTTTCGCACAGAACATGTAAAATCCTTTAAAACATAAAAAGAATCGTGTTCTATGTTTTGCAAGGTTTTTGAAGATCTGCTTTGAAAAATACTCTGGAAATCATTTTAATTTCTTGTCATCTTTGATAGGGGAGGAAGCAGAGGACTCATTATGGACTGCACAAGCACTGTGAGAACTGTATCAACAGATACTGCCAAGCCCCAGTTGAGCCGGCTGTCTCTTGTGTGGTCATCAGCTGCCATTCCCGCTGTGGCGCTGCCTTTCACATGTGCAAAGAGGAGGAACATCAACTTTTGTGTCCCCTAGAAGAAGTCCCATGCCTCAACTCTGCTTACGGCTGCCCGTTCACCATGGCCCGTTTTAAAATGGCAAAACATCTCCAGGTCTGCCCAGCCAGTATAGTGAGCTGCTCCATGGAATGGAATCGTTGGCCATGTCTGGATTCTGAAGCCATTTTGCATGAAAATATTATGAAGGAAGAACACAGCGAAAAGTGCCTGGATGTGGCCCTGGCCCTGAGAGATCAGGATGCTCTCTTTAGGGTACTCAAAATGGCTGAACTTTTCCCTGAATGCAAGGAGATTATCATCACAGACAAAACAGCTTCTGATGAGGAGGGCCTTGGAGAAGAAGCTACTGGAGGCGGAACTGGTCAGAATCAAACAAACGATGCTGAACCAGCTGAGCTCACTCAAGAAGAGCGTGAGAATTTGGCAAAGGACAAAGAAAGTGTGGATTTGATTGGTTATAAAGCTTGGGAGAATATGTTTAGCAAAGAATTTCAAGCATGTAAAGTAACAGAACAATCTACTGGTAATGGGAAAAACAAAACTGAGAGCAGGTCTCTGAATGCAGGGCATACTCCTAGTGAGAGTGTTGTGAATGAAGCCAGCAGTGTGAGAGACTGTGAGGAAACCCAACCTCCTTCGGAAATCAGTTTAGCAGCTGAAAAGACAGGCCTGGCTCCTTGGCAAGATGGAGTGCTGGAGAGACTGAAAAAGGAAGTTCCTGTAGGGGAGTATAATATGTATCTGGTGCACCATGGAAGAATGCTTATTCATTTTGGGCAGATGGCTGCTTGCACTCCCCGAGAGAAAGACTTTGTGTATGGAAACCTGGAAGTCCATGAAGTGAAGACAGAGACGACCTTCAAAGTACCAACCAGTTATTGTGGCAAAAGAGCATGTCTTGGGGATCCAACAGCGCACAAGAAGCCAACTAAGACTGTATCTCTGGACACTTCAGATTTAGGGATAAGTGCCGAGGAACTTCCTCAGTCTGATGCAATAAAAACTACGCTGCTCTGTGCCCTGGAGAAAGAACTGAAAGGGCACGAGATATCTCAGACAAAGTCTATTGATGGTCTATATGTAGATTTCGGGACCCAAACATATAGATTTGCCACGGAGCCTTTCTCCTCCACAGATGTCCTGGCAGATGTTCTCGATACAAATGATTCACCAGGCCTAAATTTACAGCTGCGTAGCGAGAGTGTAACCCAAAGGCATAATAAAAGCAGCTCAGCATTCACATTCTCCTGCAACCACTTTTTCAGAAGAGATGAATTTCCTTCACATTTCAAGAATGTTCACACGGATATCCAGTCCTGCCTAGATGGATGGTTCCAGCATCGCTGCCCGCTTGCCTATCTTGGTTGCACTTTTGTTCAATATCCTTGGTGCCCTTTTGGGCAAAGATCAAGTGTCATTTACAGCCAGCATCTCCAGACATTTGCTCTCAGGCCAGAGGTTGACCCTGCACTCTTAAAGAAATACAAATTGATCAGAAATAGCAAGGGGAAAGAAGTGGATGCTCTGAGCAGCCTTCCCTTGGAAATCCTGAAGTACATTGCTGGGTTTTTGGACAGCATCAGCTTGTCCCAGCTGGCTCAGGTGTCAGTGCAAATGAGGGACATCTGTGCAACTTTGCTGCAAGAGAGAGGAATGGTTTTTCTGCTGTGGGAAAAGAAGAGGTATTCTCATGGCGGCACCTCTTGGAGAGTCCGCAGAAAGGTAAGCGATGGGGAGACTAGAGAGTATGATGGCATCGTCCAGACAGATTTACTAAAATATCTACACTCCTTTTTGGATGTTGGTTTCAGACCTTCACAGAGTCTCTGAGGTAGACAACAGGTGGATCCTGGGGCCATCTTTTGCATATACCACTCCATCTCCAAGACCCTTTACAACCTATTGTTGCTCAATATGGTGGCAGTACCTCCCCCTTCTCACTTGCCTCAAATTCCTCCACTTGGTGCAAGAAGTTAAATACACCGAATGGCAATGGAGGAGTGCAGTAATATGTGAAAGAGTTGAGAAACTTGTTTCAGTTAATGAATGCCTTTCATGTGAAAAATATGAAGCACAAGTTAAAAATTCAGAAGTGGAAAGTATGATATCTTTCAGACACTGGTTCTGACAGAAACAAATTTGCTCGAATTTTCAATGATACCTTATCTGAACAAAGTTGTGTCAACTTATCTGAACAGTCTCAATGTGATATAAATAAATGTTTTTAAAAATGGCTTCAGGAAAACTATACAGCTTACTCTACAGTTACTTTAACATTGGGAGCCTGCTTTTATGCAGTGCTGAGAAGCAAGTGCCATTTAATTCAGCTGAGCTCTCAGTTCTAGTTTTTTTTCCTCACTGAAATATCTTTTTAAGAAGTCTTTAAAAGAGATGCCTAATGGAAAATCGCCTAAACTGTGGGAGGATAGAGCAGCTTATCAGCATGCAGAAATACTGCAGTCACCTTAAATGTAAACAAACTACAAAAGTAGAATAATTTTATCACAAATAACACTAGAATACAGCAGGAAAGGGGCAGAGCTCTGAATAAATTGCAGCGCATGCTTATCACATGTATTTGCAAGTCTTGTCGTACATCGGTGCAAATAAAAAAAAACAATGTTGTTTCTGACAGTGCCACAAGCACAAAGAAAAAATAAAGATGTATCCATTAAACAGGCAAGCTTGACCATAGGATAGTTGCTACGGTAATTCAGTTTAAGAAGTACCGTACATACTGTATTGAGAATCCTGTCACTATTTGAAGACTTCTCCAAGCTAGAGCTTTAGATCAAAACAACCTAAGGTGAACTGGGAAGGAGTCAAACATGACATCTTATACTTTTAACTGACCACCTTTCAAAATTTACATACTTTCCCCCTCTTGTACACATACAGCAACTACTAATCAAACTAATATATTATCTGGCTTATATTTTATTATCTTGTCAATATGGGAATCATAAGCTGCCTTGTTAAAACCCTTACTGTGATCAAGATACTGTAAATTACATCCACAGCATACCCTTGCTGTATCAAGATTATGTAACTCTGGACAAGTCCAGACAGGCACATAGCTTGCTATTTGGATCGCTTTTGGTACTGCTTCCTTTGAATCAAATTTTAGTGTCTATGTGCATTTTGACTTAGAGTGAATCATCCCATCCCTCTTTCTACTTATGTAACTCTGGACAAGTCCAGGCAAGCACATAGCTTGGTATTTGGATCGCTTTTGGTATTGCTTGCTTTGAATCAAATTTCAGTGTCCATGTGCATTTTAGAGTGAATCATCCCATCCCTCTTTCTAGCTAACTCATTCGTTTTTGGCACAGCACTAGAGTTATTGGGGTTTTTGGTGCAATTTGGAGCACTCCTTATTATCCCATGTGGATGTTTAATTTGCATCCAAATAGAGTTATGGGTGGTATTTTCTAGTATGACCACCCTGTGACATATTTGGTGGGTAGTGCCATTGAAAGGGACAATGGAGAACCATCGCCTCAGCTATTTTCATATACTCTACCCATTTTAATTTTTTCAAAGATATTTTTTTCCTGTCTAGACAGTGCTATTCTAGATAAATTACTGGTATTATGTATACTAGCTAGGTAGATGTATTGCTGTTTCACTGTCACTTTATTCGAGAAAAAAAGAAAAAGGAAAATCGCTGTGGCCAACTGAAAGATGACCAGTAGAAAAGGTGGGAAGGGGAGGGCTGGAAGGAGAGTGGCATTAATCAAAAGGGGAACCACTTGAAGCAATCCAAACAGATTTGCACCCTTGTTGCAGGAGAAAAAACTTTGATCAGTATGAACAGAAGGATCCCTCAAGTGACAGATGTAATAAATTGCACTAAAGATAAGAATCTTTTAAGTGCAGAACCTGACCACTCAATCTGGATGTGCCCTCTGTAAAAAAGAGATATGGTTTGTCATGTGTATTTGAAAAATGCATGCTGGCTGTCAGTAATCACAGTGTTCTTTTTAAGTGCTGACGAGCCAATTGCTTAATGATCTACTGTATTCTGGAAACTTTCCTGGTACTGATGTCAAGCTGACTGGGTAGCAGTTGCTCTGATCCTCCTCCCCACCTGCTTTTCAAAGTTGGGGTCAACGTTTGCATGCCTTCAGTCTCTCAGCACTTACATTCTCTAAGAATTCTCAAAGCACATAGACAGATGGTTCACTATTATACTTTAAAAATCCTTTAACAACCTTAGCTGCAGTTCTTCTGTCTTGAAGATTAATTCATTTAAAGGAGCTAGATATTCCCACACCATCTCTTTAAATATTTTGGACTGCAGCCCCACTTCTACATCATTCATTCTATTTTTAACATATTAAGCACCGTTTCCCTTTTGGGAAAAAACAGAGGGAAAGGAGGAATTGAAAAGTCCACTTCTTTGTCATCCTTTAAAATTTCACTCTCTTCTCCACACAGTAGACCTTTTGTTTTCTTTTGCTCCCTCTTGCTTTGAAAGATGTTTTGAGCACAGAATGCTCTCAAGTTCCTCAGCTATGCTTTTAAATTAAAGAATTGGGCACTTGTCTCAAACCAGATCATAGCCAACAGACTATAATTACTTGTTTACAGGTAAGAGCACTTCATTGTCTGCAAACATCAGGAGTCAATCTCATGGATGGCTGATAACATAGTCCAAACCATTATTAGGAAATCTGGAGTAATGGCAATTTAATCAAAAATTGATTTAGATGGAAAACCTTGTCAACAGGGCTTTTCCTTAGAGTATCACAAGCTTTGCTAGGTTGAGGGTTGTTTTTCAGATTGGCGGACAGCCTGAGGGCTGCACTCCCAAGGGTTGAATCTAAAAGGGCATGGCCATGCATTTTTTAAATTTTATAATACAGAAGTATTTATTTATTATCCATTTTTAGGCTTAGGGTTTTCAACATAATTCAGTGACTGAGGCTTTTGTTATTTATCAGTACCTTAAATTCACTTCTTGACTAGCTCCACGCTTGGAATCCTAATGACAAGGCATGTTGGGGTCAAAGACTGCCCGCATGGCCTTGCCAGACAAGCTGTGCTCCTGGTCTTATGGATCTTGGCTCTGAGACTCAGTGGACATTTAGAACAGTGGTTTTTAACCTTTGTTACTCAGGTGTTTTTGAACTGCAACTTCCAGAAACCCCAGCCAGCAGAGCTGATGGTGAAGGCTTCTGGGAGTTGCAGTCCAAAAACATCTGAGTAACCCAAGGTTAAGAACCAGTGATTTAGAATGTTCACTCTGGGCCTACAAGGCCATTCAATTCTCTAATTAAGTGCAGCAATAAGGTGTTTCAGCAGGAGGGTACAAAGGACACTCAGGCCAAGGAGACACAGGGTGAGCACCAGAGTAAAGTTAAAAAATTGTGATAGAAAAGAATCACAAAGATGACAGGAAAAGCCAATCAGATGATCCATGTTTCTTTTCAAAGCTAAGACACAAGGAAGGCCAAGTGAGAAGAATGAACAAACTAAAAGGGCGACTACACAGGCATTTAGCCCACCATTAGACCACTACTATTTCACTCCTGAAGATGGTAATCAGACAATGTCTGGATTGAACCAGCTCGCCCCCAAAGTGGTCCTATTTCTGAGCCCCTGTCAGAGGCTTCTACTTTTGTGTGTGGGGGTAGGTCTGTTCTCTTTTGGTCCATTGCCAGTGCGTGTGATAGCCGGAAATGGACCAAAAGTGAGTCTTCCTCTAATTTGCCAATATTGTAATATGGGTTAGTAAGACAGCCATTTCAAAATATTGGCAAATTAATCAATTCCTCGGCTCCATAGAAGGGCTGAAAAGAATATTGGCTGCACCAATTTTAAAGAATTAAAAAAATGCATAGTTTCCTCTCAGAAGCTTTTATTTGGTTTCCTTTTAAAAGTCAATTGACCACCTGCCTGATTCAGCTGTGAACAGGCTCTCCAGTGGACCTTTAAGAGAAAAGCCACTTCCTGAATTGTCAAAGGCAGGAGATGGGGGCATTTATATTCGTATACAAATCTGAATACCCCTGCACAGGTGGCGATAACGAGGGTCCAGCCCCATGAGGCCGGACGGTCCACTCAGAATTCTGCCGCCGCTCCAACCTCTGCAGAGCCTTCCAATGGCTCCAGAGCTCACGATCTGTGAGCCACTCTTTGACCTGGTGGAGAGGCTTGCCGTCCTGCTTCCTCCCAGGAGTGGCAAGCCGACTGCGATCTACAGAGTCATTGGAAGCGGTGGAATTGTGAGTGGACTGTCCAGCCACATGGGGCTGGACCCTCGTTATTGCCACCTGTGCGGGGGTATTCATATACCCCCATCTCTACTGTGGACCCCATGGGGTTCTTCAGGTCATATGCTGTTTGGATGTGAGGATGACACCTTATAGCAACCCTGTTTAGCCAATCCACCCTGCTCCTTTCACACCCTGTGGACAAGCCCTAACCCTTAATAAATACTGACATACTGATTTAGTTTCTTTTAAAAAGTCTCCAAATATTTTCCTTTACTATTATTATACTTTTGTAATTAAAGCTTATTTCTCCTTTCATCTGTTCTCTTTAATTCTTAGCCCCTCATTCTTTTTCCTTTTTTTCCTCTAGAATCCATTTAATAAAAGGATAGGGAACATACCGTCTATGTAAATGATTGAGATCTCAACCAGTTTCATTTGAAAAAGTATAAATATAAAACATGAATCCATTTAGACAGATTATAACAAGCAATTAGGCCACCTACCCACAAACACTTTTTATTCTAGCAACTCAATTCAGTCCTGAAAAATCTCATCTGTCAGTATTGCCAAATGATTACCTGAACTTCATAAAAATAAATCAATTGTAAATAAAATCATTCCAAGCAAAGCAGGGCAAGGGAGGTGGAGAAAGAGGGAACTAATTCATTAATACCCAGTTCCACAGGTTTTTTTAAAGTCCATGTTGTGTTAGAAAATACATTGAATCAGTCTCTCTTAGCAATGATTCAACAAAAAGAAAAAAAGGATGTATATTCATTTATAAAGTTATGAAAATAATTTTCATTTGGTAAGATCTTTATCTTTGAATTTGAATTGATCCTTTGATCAATTCAAACTTCTGTTCCATTATCATTCATTTCTTCCTCCTCTTCCTTTTGCACTGGATTCCAAATGCATGCCTTTTTGGGATTATGTTCCATTGAATCCAGTGAGAGTTGCATACAGTTGCACTGCATTTGGCCCCCATTTCCCCTCCTTCCTTCCTTCTTTCTTTTCTCACACTACTAACCTGGACGCTATACCTCTGCTGACACTGGCAGTTTAATTAAGGCTGGGCTGTAGCAGGTCGGATAAGTCAACTGTGCTGTTCTGGCTCCTGACAGATTTATAAAATTGTAGAAAGGACTGCAAGGACTATTGAGTCCAAACCACTGACAAAGCAGAAATCCACAGCTAAAGTATCCCTGTCAGATGGCCATCCATTCTCTGCTTTTAAAAAACCTTCTAATGAAGTCAAGTCCAAGAACTTCTGAGGTAATTGTTTCCATTGTCAAACAAGTCTTAATGTCAGAAAGATCTTCTTAATGCTTAATTGACATCTCCTTTATTGCATTTTGGATATACTGTATTGCTTTGGATCCTACTCTCTAGAGCCAAAGAAAACAAGCTTGCTCCATCTTCTGCAGGACATTCCTTGAAATATTTAAAGATAGCTATCATATCACTTCAGCCTTCTCTTTTCTAGACTAAACATACCCAGCTCCCTAAACCATTCTTCAGAGAGCTTGGTTTCCAGATCTTTTATCATCAGGGCCGTTTGGACATGTTTTCTGCTGGGCAGATTAAGGTGGTGGTGAGGTACTGCAGATTTAAAGAGAAAACATAACTAATTTTAAGCAGATGAGCAACAAGGAAGAACAGATAGTGACAGCGGAAGGGTGGAGCAATACAACAGCTGCAGGTAGAGAGACACATGTGTGCTCAGTGTGCAAGATTAGTGGGGTGCTACTTGGGTTTTCATCAAAACCCGAAACCCTAGTAATCCTGGCCCTTTCACATATTGTAATCCTCATGAGTTGAGGAGAGAGGGGACGTTCTTACTGGTCCAGCTCCTATCAGCTCATCCTCTTTGCCTGACCCCGCCCTCCAAGCCTTTGGATACTGACATTCTGCAGCTGAGCACCTCCTTTAGAGGAGTTCTGCTGCCCTTCACCATTTAGAACACAGAGGGCAGTGGGCCCAAAGCACTGTCCTCCCTCTTACATTTCTAATCATGTAAGAGCTAGAACATCTGCATGTGATTCTGCTGTGGTTATAGCTGGCCTCCCTTTGGGATGTGAAAGGCTAGAAATTTGTAAACAATTTGTAAACAATTGTCTGGATGCTCAGTCTATGTTCTGCGCTGGCCTCTGGTCTTCCATCTGTATGGTAAGAGATTTAAAGAGGTATATAATTTAATATTACCTATCATTATAAAACAAGAAAAATTATTGGGCTGTATTTTCTAAGGGCTCAATCACACCTGCCAAAAGAACTCAAGTTATACCGATTTGGCTATTATTTATATTGATTCATAAATTCCTGTTCACATGATGCATAGCCAACATTGATTTATTTCCCCCGCAATCAGTTCATTTCCCCCCTTTCCGGGAGGGTTGTTTTAAATTTTACCGATGATGTATAAATTAATTCCTTATTTTTTCTGTGTGAATGTTGCTGGTGATTTATTTCCTTTGCAAAGGGGCCAGGTTTCTGGGTGCTGTGACCATTTCAAAGCCACTGTGCTTGTAAAGGGATATTGGCTAGTAGTCACCACCACTGGTTCCAGTGACACAAAAACAACACGAATACATTGCTCAGTGGAAGACAGCCTTCTTCCCCTCCTTTGTGGGTGAAAACAGGCTTGAGATTTCCTGTTTTGAATTGTAAAGAAAGGAACATTTCATTTTTTTAACCCTGTTCTTCAGAAAACCCACTTTCTCCTCCTGACACTACTGTATTCAAAAGGGAAAAGAAAAATTAAAGCTAAGAACTGAGAGGGAGGGATAGGCAGGGAAAGTCAGTAAAGGAGGGAAGGGAAAAGGGGAGGGAGAGAAAAGGCGCATACCATTTCATCAATATATCAACCTTTGGTAATTAAAAAAAAGGACAAGGGGGTCCTCACTGCCCCAAGAAACAGTAGAGAAAATGAACTGAAACAAAATTAAAGAACAGTGTAACCTCCTACAATAGTTCAAATAGAAATAAATAAATCAATACACGTAAAAACAATGTGAATGCTCCTGCTGATACCACATGGCCGCTGGGGAAAAAGTATCAGAACAGAGGTATGAATAGAATTGGTATAATTGGGATTCTTTACTCATGTGTGATCAAACCTTAAGATGTTGGAGCCATTTGCAAGATCTCATTAGAATACTGAAATGTTATTGCCTGTGTTCCTTATTTATATTTCTCTACAGGTATGGAAATTTAGTACTCTGTTCTCCACTGTTAACAACTGGCAGTTGAACGGCATTCCTTCCATGGCTGAACATTTAAAAACCTGCCCTTTCTATGAGGTGGAGCACAAGAAGGATCCTGTTTTGCTGACTAGCATGATTCTGCCAGAAGAGCGGTCGCAAGAGAGTTTGGTCTCTACGTTCACACATGGACCAAGTCCTAAGAAAGTTCAGAGAAGATTGTATTGATTTATAGAGAAAGAGTACTTTCATTCTGGAAATAAAATGTTAAACAATTGGGGACTCTCTGAAATGCACTAAGGGTTCTTTTCTTCACCAATACAGAAGAATTCATAACCACATCAGACTTTTTTCCTTTCTTTTGTTAAGCATGCATACATTTCCATCTTGCAGCATGACAATGTTTGTTTCCCACTGAATTCTGTAGGAGTTGTATCCAAATAGGTTATGGTATGGGATGAAACAGAGAGTGGCCAAATTTTCTCAGCTCTGATGCTGGATTCACCAAAGCAGATTTAACCAAAGTCAAAACTGGGCATTTCATTAATCATGTAATACTAGGGAAGGGGTTGTAATACTTAATGGCCAGAATCTAATTGAAAAAACAAGACCAGTGTTAAGTCTGTCAGTCTAAATTTTAGTGAACTGCTGCTGCTTGACAAGCTAGTGTTTGCATTTCTTGTTCTGCACCAAGTTGTGCAACTGATATGCAACAGGAAATACAACTGCTACCTTCTTAACTAGTGGCAATTCATTGCTGAGACGTATGTCAATGAACCTCTGCCAGCATGTGTTAAGTTAGTGGTTCCCAAACTTTTTCAGCTTACAGCTCCCTTGACTTACTGGCCACTGGGTGTGGCTCCCCAATATGATACCTCAGGTTGGGGGAGAAAGTGGGTCAGTAAGTCAAGGGAGCTGAAAACATATGGCAATCACTGGCCTAACTCTCCAGCCTGCTCCCAAAGGCTGGTGTGTTTGGAGCTTATCTTGGCCTCTGCCAGTCGGTTGGCTGGCCAACCGGCCATCCTCCCATGCTCTGGCACATGGTGCCACAGCTCGTCTCTCTATCCACGCTGGACAAGCCCTGCCTGTCTCTCTGCTGCCAGCATCAATTCTTCCTTCAGACCTGTCCTGCACTCTAAACATGTGGCTTTGGTGGCGGCTGTGAGGCCAGGGCCTTTGCTGGCTGCCCCCTCAAGCTCTGCAGCAGAGACCAGCTGTGAGCAAACTGGGTCACTATAGAGCTCACCCACCCATGCGCCAGCCAGCCACTGTTGTCCTCGGCAGCTGCTCAGATGCCCCGTGACAACCGCCAGCTAACTGGGCTTACTACTGTCCTGTGGTTTTCTCCCAAGCTCATGGTGCTGCTGCCAGATTTGAGCAGATCTTCACCACACAAGTGGATAAGGATAGCCTGAATTCTACCCCATCATCTCGAATCATAGGGAGGAAGGCTGGGAGGGTTTCTTAGCTGCTAGGTTTGGAGCCACCCCATCTTCCCGCCCAAATAACTAAGGGGAACTTGGAAGCAGATCAACCTGCTCCCTTACCTCCAAGCCAACAATGGGGTTGAAGAATAAAGAAAAGCTCCCTC